ATGGTGCTCTTTGATATTAGATGAGTTACAGATCTGCTGTGTGTGTGTGTGTGTGTGTGTGTGTTTTCAATAATTCAGTATCTCTAATCTTCAGGGCTGTATGGCTGAAGGGTTTTGCATTTGACCCTCCCGTCTCTCTCTCTCTTAATATTGCTGATGTGTGAGTTCAGAGTATGAGTAGTTTCAGTTAGTCCATCTCCCTCTGTCCTTCAGTTAATACTGCTGACCTATGAGTTTGGTCTTGTCCCTGCAGAGGCCCACCTCCCACCTGAAACACGCTGTGTGTGTGCGTGCATGTGTGTGTGTGTGTGTGCCCGTGTGTGTGTGCCCGTGCGGGCTTGGTGCTGCGTCAGCTTTGGTGTTTCACATATGAGAGGTCGTGACCCTGCTGCCTGGAATACACTTGTCTTCATCTGACTGATTACATATTAACACCCTGGACACACACACACACACACACACACACACACACACACACTCTCTGTCATTGTGGGTGAATGGTCCTTTGACCCCTGGTAAGGAGTTACTTGTTCTCCCAGTGGTGGCAGGGACCTCAACCAGTTCATTAATACAACACATCAGAGCCAAACACCCTCAACTACTTATCATTCCCACTCCCATCCTCAACTTCCTCTCCTCTCCTCTCCTCTCCTCTCCTCTCCACCTAACAACATAATCTGTATTTTGACGATACTAAGATAAATAAATTTAGTATTTCTGATCGATTGTGTCCTTTATCTTCAGGTAAGCGGCTCCAGGAGTGGGTGTGTGTGATTCTGTGCCTCTTCCTCTTCATCATCAACTTCTCCTTCCTCCTCCTGCACTTCTCCACCGTTCACATCTACAAGATCATCCTTGGCATCGGTGAGAGTCACAAAACCTGTGATGGTAGAAGAATGACCGAGTTAAGACAAAGCTTCACTATAAAACTACATATCACAGTCACTGTTCGACTTTTACCTAGAGAAATTTTTTTTTTTTTATAAAAGTTGGGAATCATTTTTCTGAACGGTCCCTCGTCATTGTTCCAATCCACATGAGGTTTTTGTAACACTTCTGTAAAAAATTATGTTTTGGTCTTTGCTTACACATCTGCTAAAACATATGTTATTCCTTTTTTCCTCCTCGGTGTCGGTGTTTCTCTGCCAGTCCTAGGAATAGTGACGGCAGACTTTGCGTCGGGGATGGTGCACTGGGGGGCGGACACCTGGGGATCTGTGGACATCCCTGTTATTGGCAAGGTGAGCAAACGTTCACTACACATATACATACACAGACAGTCTGGCCGCACTGAACAGCTTGTAGCCAGTTCTCAACAATTCACTACAAAGTAAACCCTCCCTTTCCCCTGAAATCCCTATTTGGCCACAACTGAATTTGCTTATTAATAACAGCACTAGAAATTGGGTCGACATTTTGGAGCTAGTGTAGCTCTCTCTCTTGTGTTGGTGCTACAATCAATGGCACCAACACAATGGAGAATATGCCTATTTCAAGTAGTATTTTAGGATGTAGCTGTTCAGCTTAATAATTGTTGACCTCCCATGGTCACGATCATTTTACATTACAGGCGCTTCATTTGGCGCCTTATGTCTTTTGTAAGGAGAACACTTTTTGCTTCTTGAGATGATCCACCCTTCAGCATGTTGTATTTTTTTAGACACATAATTTTTGGACATTTCTTCAAGTAGCTGGGTTTATCGAACCTTTCCACAGAGCCAGGCTGTTTCACCCTGTTGTTTCACTAAGCGAAACTTCTCTTATGTCTAGTTTCATACTTAATGCACAGAAGTGAGAGAGGTATGGATCCTCTCTTGGCAAGAAAGTGAATAAAAATATTTTTCAAAGCAGCAAAGAATTCCTTTGGTAATAATAGCTCTTCTGCTACGACAAAAAAAGTGATGCTTGACAAATAATTAGAAGTTAAAACAAAAATAAACACAAGAAAAAACACACTGACAGTAAAACAGTAAAACTAAACATGTAAACATTTTGTACTGCTGCATCAACCAAAGGAATTCAGAATTGAAGAATAAATGTTGAGTTTGAGTTTTAAGAAAGTGTCTTTTAAGTATAAAAGTTTAAATTTGTCTGCGTCTGATGTGTCTGTATCTCAAAAACTGACATCTTCTAAAAGATCTTTCACTTTCTTTAACTGTGTTCTAACATTTCTAACATGTCTTATGTGCAGTGCATATGATGGTAAATGTCTTTTGCTTTGAATCGATGGAAAGCGAACTCTTCTCGGGAATTCAATTTGATTTCAAACTTTATTTTCAACAATGTGTGTTTGAGCACTTCAGTCTTCACTCCTCAGACAAACAGCGGTGACGTCTGGCAGCTGCATAGGATTTTTTGCAGCTGGAAGTTTAGCCAAAAAAAAAAACAGCTTATAGTCAATCTAAAGGTTGAGTCCTTCAAAAAAACATGTAAGAATATTGTAACACATTTAATGACCCAGTGAGTCACAGACGAGGGAGATGATATTGTACTGTACCAGTGTCCCCTCTCTCCTGAGGCTGTATCACCATGGCAGCGTGGTGGTTACACCTTATTCCCCCAAGCCTCAGGACTGCTATAGTGACCTGGAAACTAAATGTCACTGTCTCACAGAGGAATCTCCCTGTAGACAGTAATGTCCATGGTCCCCAATACAGACAACACGCACGCACGCATTCACGCACGCACGCACACACGGACACACGCACGCATGCACACACGGACACACTCTGTGAATGGTCTCACCTTGAACCTCCGCAACCTGTCACCATACAGCACCAGAAGATGTGTATGCACATATTTATGTGGGTGTGTATTAAGATGGATGCACATACACTTAGTTTTTACATTGGAACACATCACCTACATTAATGCCCACACATTTAGCACAGCCAATTAGAGTAAAGGTTACCCTCATTTCAGCCAATTAAAATCAGTGTGATCAGGTGCAGCATGCAGATTGGTTCATGTGAACTTTGTTTTGATTAATGAGATGGGAATTTAGTGCATGTGTGTGTGTGTGTGTGTGTGTGTGTGTGTATTTCATCCTCTATTAATTCTGTTTATGAAATATTCATTGATAATTAATGAGTTGAAATGCAGAAACTGTTGTGTGTTTTGAGACCTGAAAAATCCTAATTATAATGAGAGTTCTCATTCATGCTGAACCCATGTAGTGTCAATGTTTGATTAATTATAGTGTAATATTAGTCAGTCGTTAATGAATTTATATTTATTTGATTTAATTCAAATTTGTCACATAAACTTCCTTCTCCTGAAAAACTGAATGTCTTACAAATGCTCTTTATGAAAGTTAAATACATCATTACACTGATACAAAAGTGTGGAGTCAGTTAAACGTGTAATATCATTATAATTACAAGGCAGTACTCTTGGAACAAAGATTTATTGTCCTGAGGAGCGCAGGCTGCACATATAGGGAAAAATATGGTGGAGGGTGCTGAAAGTACATTTACATTTACTCATTTGGCAGACACTTTTATCCAAAGCAACTTACAAGTGAGGGACATCACTAAATATCCAGTGCAGTAGGAGACCGTGGTGTAACTACTAAGTACTAAATCTGTTCAATAAGGCGAAGTACAAGAAGATCAGGTAAAGCAATGCAGCGAAAGTGCATAGTACGTGCTAGTTAGGCATGTTAAGGTGTTAGAGGTGTTAGGAGAGGAGGTGCTCTCTGAAGAGATGAATCTTCAAGAGATTCTTGACAATAGAGAGGGAGACCCCTGCTCTCTTTTAGTAGCTTGCTCGACCATCGCTGAACCACAGATGAGAACAGTCTAGACTGCGATTGTCTTCTGAGCAGGCATAACGATGTCAGATGTTTTTCGTTGGAGGAATGCAGTGGCTGAGAATGATTGAGCCTGTATGATTAAGTTCGAGTAGAAGTCACTCTGTAGGTAAGCAACCATGACGTGAATTTGATTCAGTCGGCCATGGGTAGCCATTGGAGGTCAATGAGCAGTGGAGTGACGTGCCCATCGACTGAAGACCAGATGGGATGCTGCATTCTGGACCATTGGTAAGGGTTTCACTGTGCGTGAAGGGAGGCCCGCCAGAAGGGCATTGAAGTAGTCGAGGTGAGAGATAACCATTTCCTGGACCAACAACTGGTTGGTGCACTGATTCAGGCTTTTATATATTTATATATATATATATGTGCAAAGCAACACGCATAGGAGACAGGATCATGGTCAGAGAAGGATCTCTGGTCCTCAAATATGACACCCAGGTTTCTCGTGACCTTGGTTGGGTTGAGAGATGAAGAAGCAAATCTGATGTTGCTATTGTGATGGAGAGACTGATCGACTAAAAGTTCAGCCTCAGAGAGGTTTAGTTGAAGGTTGCGTTCCTTCATCCATGTGGATATGTCTGAGAGACAAGCTGAGATCTCCGCCAAGATCGTGGGCTCTGAGGTTCCTGCAACTTCTGACTTCAGGGGCTGTTCCAGTTGAAATTTCCCACCGGGATCCCTGAAATCCCGACTTCCCAGTTCAGCCTACATGTCAGTGTTGGGTTTACATCTTGTTCTGCCAAAAAATGAGTCAAGTCCGTTTTAAATGGCAAACAGCAGGAACCCAAGTTTTTTTTTTTTTTCAAACCTCAATCTCAGTAGGCATCAGCATCACACGTAATGTAAACATGAGGTGACAGCTGTAGATTTAGTGAGATGCATCACTTTTCTATTTACTAGCATTCTATATTAGCATCCACTGAATCAAATTAAAAGCAGATTATAAATGAGTTGCAAAGGCACAGAACAGCAAATCAATGTTAATTGCCTAATAATGAGTTGGAGCATTTAATTGATTTATATAGTTCTACTTGTTAGTATCTAAAATGGTAATATTTCATGAATTAATATCTCTACACAGGAGGCTGGTGGTTTTGAGGCTTTGGCATCACAGCTTTTAGGTAAATCCCATCACTGCAATTCAGTCTGACACTAATTGGCTCCAGACACCACATTATTGACAGTGTGTTTAGTGTGATGAATTCTAATGGTTGATGTCATTCTTCTTGGATCCAGTGTTGATTAGACTGTAATGTTAAATTTTCTCTCAGGCTGTGTGACATCATCCTGTGTATGTCCTAATGTGTTTTTGTCAGTGAGCATTATTTTGTTGTTACATTGTGTTGTTTATGCACGTGCACTGTACCATCAATTGACTCTAAACAATGATTCCTGGAGCGTGGAGTTAGTTTTTTAGTGTTCTGAAGGTACTATGTGGTTTGATGTTTATTTATGATGTGGAATTTATTGGGGTTTGGGGTAGTTACTGGGACCAAAAGCACAGTGGCAGTCACAAATTTGCATGGTGTGTCGGACACTGTAGGAGACTTCTAATAAAGACTTTAACTGGAAGAGAAGAATGGACCTGTGTGGAGAACAGAGGGATGACAATAGGCAAGTGTGTGTGTGTGTGTGTGTGTGTGTGTGTGGTGGTGTGTGGTGGTGTGTGGTGGTGGTGGAAGAGAGACAGAGAGAGAGACAAAAACACAAGGCATACACCTCAGTTGTTTTTTGGTTCTGTGTGGGTTTTGAGACTGAGAATAAAGCGGGCCTGTGCTCCCAGTTAAGGTTAGTTTGAATATCAAAGACGAGCACGATGGAGAACACCTGAGGCTAATAGTGGTTGCCGTCATGAAGCTAGATGAAACATTTGAAGCCAGTTCTGCTCTTTGTTATTTGTTTGTTCTGTCATTTACTTGTTTCTGCTGTTTATGTATGTACTGTGTGTGTACATGTGTACCTCTTTACTTTGTCTCTATTCTCTGTTACCTTTGTTAGGACCTCTTAACAAAAGACACTGTTGGACTGTAGACTCCATGTTGAAACATTAATGCAGATGCAAAGTATGTGGTATGCACATATGGACTCCTGCTCTCCATAAATTCACCATAATGGGAAACCTAACATTCATAAGAGTGACTGCTGTAGGATCATAAATAATATTTCCAGCAGTGAAGGCCGTGGAGCAGTAACAGCTGCCACTGGAAACTGCATTTTCTATCTGTCAAAGTCGTTGGCCCAGTATGGCCAATATGGTCTCCAGGATCTGAGGGACAATTTTGCTGCCAAGGTCACAGATAAGATATGTTTCCATTTATACACGTTTTTGATGTGTGTGTGTAAAGAAACCTGAGTGGAATCATCAACAACATGTCAGGTTGGATACCAGCCAGGGACCTTTGTAACATGTCACGGTCCTCTCCCATGTTCCCGCTCTGTATCTACACTGTCACTGTCACTAAAAGCAAACTGCAGAAAAAAAAAAGAACAGTTGGTATATCAAACGAAAAGAGGAGTTGCAATGCGATGCAAGGCTGATAGAGACAGATAAAATACAGCCTCATGCTGCGTCGCCTCTGTGACAAGATTCATGTCATACTGCCACACATTCTTCACATGCCTCCACTCCACCAGACAGTCCAAATAATAAACAATAAAATCATGTGTCAACACCCCTGGTTGGATTCTAGACGAGGTGCCCTGCTTCGTATCACCATGCTCTCTATCACCATAGCGACTGATAAAGACACCCATTAGAACAAACCCACAAAGACCATTTTAAGTGGAAAGCAGCAAAGAAATGCCGCGATGCGTCAGTTAGTGGTGCTCAGTTAATTATATCATCTTCTCATGTCCACTTGAATATAACTGCCTAAAAGGTAATTAATGGAAACATGCACTGATCCACATTTTATTTTGATGAACAGTCAAAAATCAATTACAACGTATTAACATCATTCCTCCTAAATGAAGAGAGCTGCATTTTTTTCCAGCTACATTAAAAGAGAAAGAAAAAAAAAAAAACAATATTCAGTAAATAAAACTTTAAAAATGTTTTTTTTTGTCTCCATCAAACATCATTCAGTTGCATGATCCCATTCAGCACACAGCTAATGCTCTTCATCAGGAATTGTATAACAACGATTTGCTTTGATTTGAATCCACGAAAGCCTTTCCTCTGCGCAGCACTAAAACTGTAGCACTATCTTAAAAAGTGCATTACATTTTCCCAGAAGTGTTTAGAACTATTCCTCAGCGAGGCTTTGGGCCGTGCTGTTTTTTTTTGTCGTCATCGTGTCGTTGAGCTTTAATTGACTCAACAAGGATTTAGCAGTCCTCTAATGACACCACTTTGAGGACCAAGTCACGCTCATTAGTTCCCAATGATGCTCAATTCACATTGAAATTTGCCAGATGTGCTTACAGTTTAGGGATATATGTTTGAAGATCCTTCCTCTCTATCTGTTTTTCCTCTGCAGTCGTCTTTTAAAAGCATCAGTATTTCTCTCCTTGTGTCAGTTTCCCTCTTTCTTTACTGTTACATCTTTATCAGATGTGCCTCTTTCAAGGCAACACTCTAATGAGGCTGATTGGAGCATCGAAGGAAAGTTAATTGAATGACGTAAGTCAGTTTTTTCTTGAAGGCCAAAAGGGGAAATGGAGAGTAAGAAAGCATAGATAGAAAGATTTGGATAAAAAGAGGGAGACAGAGAAAAAGGAACCAACAAAAAGTGAGATGAAAATACAGTAAAAAGGTCGGGAGGACATAAACGAAAAGAAGGGGGTGGAAGGGCGTGTCTGTCCAGCCAGTGGGACAGCGCTGGTTGCTGGGGCGATGGGCGATGTGAGCTGGTGATTAACGGATGTCGTGCGAGGCGGGCCGTTAAACGGTGTGGGATTAGAGGACACGCAGCGACCGGTGGCCCGCCATTAACTGGGAGCACTGATGCCGCCCCGCTCAGCACGACCTCCACAGCTTAGCCGGCCTTTCATCTGGCTGAGGGCTGCGGTGAGAGGAGGGGGGTGATGGGAGAGGAGAGGTGGGGGAGAGGCAGATGAGAACGGAGAAGGGAACATAATAGTGAAGATGTCAACAGATAGTTTTTGCAGAGACACCTACAAACGATGGTGGCAGATAGGTGTGTGTGTGTGTGTGATTGGTTCGAACAGCTAACGCGACAATAATGAGTTTCCATGCTGATGTGTCCACGGCTACACACACACACGCAGACACATGTACACTGTAGCAATAAAGATGCAAGCCTTCCTTGTTTTGCTTTTTCCACAGAGGGAAATAAATTACCTTTATCCTGTTTGTGCATGTGTGTGTCTCTTTTTGTCCTCTTTTGTGCTTGTGAGATTCAGATTCAGTCTTTCATTTGAGACCCCCATGCTCTCACAGACAGGTGTCTGCCTCTGCACGGTGCAAGTGGGGTTTGCGACTGTGTGTGTTTGAAGCTCACATTTTTGAGTTTGTGTCGGGCGTCCATGGGTCATTTATGTGTATGAGTGTGTTTGTGCGAGTCGACTGCTGTTCCGGGGTTTATTAGGATGCTGGATATGAGCTTTGGGGTTGCGCAGGATGCTGGACACTGCTGAGTCGCTGTGTGTGTGTGTGTTTCTGTGTGTGTGTGTGTGTGTGTGTGTGTGTGTGTGTGTGTGTGTGTGTATGTGCATTTGATCTGCATTTGCTTTCCAGTTTCTGTTTTGTGTTCTGATTTAAAGTGCATGTAAATTAAGTTTGAAAACAAATCTACCGGTGACTGTCAGCTTCTGTTTTTGTGCTTATTGTTTAAAACATCGGTTCCATTTAGCAGAAACTGAATCAGTGTTATTTTAACTAATGGAACAGACAGCCTGCTTATTTAAAATAGTGTCATTTTGTTTCTTTTGCCGTGTTGAATTCTACCAAATTATAACCCAAACTTTATATAACGTGTAAGATGTAAAATGTATGTCTTCTGTCTGCAGACGGCTGCACTTACAAGAAACATTGTCATAGTGTGTGTGGTTTATAATCTGTGTGTGGATGACCATAAAAATTGTTGTTTATGGAAAGCAGGCATACCATTTCACTGCAGTCCATTTCTCTGCTATGGCACAAAATGAAATTCATGATTGGTTAATGATTGTCCCTCTTCACAATTTAAAGTCAGTTGTCCTGTATCAAGGAAAAAATGTTTGAATAACTTCTCTATTGTTTTAAGTTGCACGTGATTGTTTTGTGAGTCTTACAGTCCATAATGTCTCTCTCTTCCTCCGACTCTCTGTCCTTACAGGCATTTATCCGACCGTTCAGGGAGCACCACATCGATCCAACCGCCATTACTCGCCACGACTTCATCGAAACCAATGGCGACAACTGTATGATCCCCATCCTACCGCTGGCTCACATGGCGTACAAGTTCTACACATACACACCAGGTAGCACACACACATATACGTACGTACACACAGGCAAACATAACTGCATTTTCTTAATTGGCTATCAAGCACAGAAAACCATGAACACTGCCAGTTTGATTACAGTTTGCACAATTGCCTCAAGGTGTAATGTGAATGTGAGGACTTTAGTTGGTCAACTACAAAGAGTCTAACAATTTTTAGCAGTGAACTCTTTTTGCAAGATGCCAAGGTATCCTGGCCTCTGGGGTGAGAGAAGTGTGTCCACTGATCATGGGAGAGCAGTTTTTCTGGTAATCATGTTCACTGACCTTATGAGTGTGGGGCAGGAGGGGAGGGACTAGAGGAGGAAGATCAGCAGGAGAAACAGAGCAACCTGTTATTGAGGAGGTGACATCTCCACCTGTCATGTCTGTACTTCAGCTTGAGCCAAAAGGTCACTGATGGGTGTAGAGGAGAGGAGTTGACATCAGTTAGCTAGGTTAAAGGTGAGGGTAGCCACGGTGTTGTGGGGTTAAGCTGTTCACAAGCCTCTCTCTATCTGAGGACCTCTGATGTGATTGTAACCCGAGTCGGCTCAGTGTTTAATCAAAGACAAAATAATCTGCCAACAATTAGGAATTAACCTGCAAAGACAGTAGCAGCCTCCATCTTACCTCTTCAACCAAAAAATAATTATCCCAACACTCTATGAAATGTGAATGAAATATTACAAATGGTGATATTGATATTAATGTGTTGCCCAACATGGTGCCAGCCCTATATAGGGCTCTTTATATGGCCCTATAAGTGCCAGTGTCGCTAATTGACTGAGTGAGTGAGTGATGTAGTTACACCATTGGTCGCTAGATTAACCAGCTTCTCAGACCCCTTGGGCAACTCTTTTCAAGAAAGCACTTAGCGATGTTAGCGACAACGTTTGTTTGGACTAGAGCTGCACAAATAATCGAAGTATATTTGAAATTGCAGTATGGCCAAGTGCAATATCCAAATTGCAGATGCTGCAAAAAAAATTGCAGGTTATTTTTTATTGTTTTCATTATAATTTTTATTTTTTGTTAGGTTATTTTTATATCAATATATTCCGATTATATAGCCAATATATTCCAATATAGCTATATTGGTTATTGTCCCATACCTATAACTGTATAAAATAAAGTATAGATGTTTCTAAACAACATTAAATGTATCAAGGTCAAGAATTCTCCCTGTAAACATGGTCAGAAATGTCACATGTAAAAAATGAAATGATGAAGTTACAAGGAATATTGACTGAGAATGTTGATACAAATGGAAAGGATGTAACAAATCTATAGAAATAAAGTAATAGAGGAAAAAGGAGTGGAAGGGAAACACGCAAAGGTCAGCTGCTTGGCCACAGGAGGGATCAGCGAATAAGGGGCGAGAGGGAAGGAAAGATTAGAGGGGAGACGGCAGTAGCGAGGTCCACTTGTAGGTGACATCCACACCTGTCATGTCACGCACTGCAGGGAGTCAGGAGGTCACGAGACAGGGACAGGGAGAGGTGCAGTGACATCTACACCTGTCATGTCTGCACCTTAAGAGGTCACTGCTAAGAGTTTGAGACAGAGGGTGAGAGTGCATGGAGAAGAGAGGCAGGGAGACAGGCTGGGGGGTGGGGGTGGTAGAGGGTCATGTAGCGGTAAGATGACATCTAAACCTGTCATGTCAAGCTCCTCACAGTGTCAAGCGGTCACCAGACAAAGACAGAGACAGAAGTAGATGGGGGAAAGCTGAAAGCAGTGAGGTGACATCTCCAACTGTCATGTCTGCACTTGAACTGGGGTCAAGAGATCGCTGTTTTAACCAAAGAGAGGGAACGAGGGATGGAGGCAGACAGAGAGAGGACAGCTGTAAGTCATACTGTCACAAAGACTCTAATGAATAACAAGAGTGAGCAGAGTGAAAGGCAAGCTGCAGACTTCTGTTTGGTTTTAAGCAGGTGGCAGATGAGACTGATGGAAACTTGTAAGTGCATTTTATTAAGCAGGTGTGGGCAGCTCAGTTACACCTACATCCAACAGCAACGTTGCAGACTGTTGCCCTGCATATGATTATTTCCATTTTTCCTGCACACAGCTGCTCCTGTTTGTGAGTCCTGACATGTTTGTCACCTGTCAGCTCACATCAACACTGGCACAGCACACGATCCCCAGATACCAATGACATCTTCAACTACTGTTTTCATGGTTTCAGGCCTAGCAATAGTCTACATTTATGAAACCTAATTAACACTTGAACTCAGTGAACAGATTATTCACGTTTTTAGCCACACTAGCAGCGCAGCTGGAGGATGTCTTTTCTCACCAAAACTGTAATTTGTCCAACACTTTCTTGTTTATTTCCAGTACCAGCAAAACTAATGACATTCCCATCAGTCTGAGCTGTACATATTAGCTAACAAACTAGCATTTTAAAACGCTAGCATGCTAACATTACCTGCTCAGTATCAGCACAATAGCATTGTCATTTTCAGCCTGTTAGCATGCTGATGTTAGCATTATGCTCAAAACACTGCTGTGACAAAGTACAGCCACACCGAGCTGCTAGCATGGCTGTTACTGACACTAGATACTTCCTGCAGACTTTTCACTTTAAAAGCCTTTGAAAAGAAGGAAAGGGATGCTGGCTCTTCAACTGGTGGAAATGTGAATGGAAGCAGATAAAACAGGAAAGTTTCATACTAAATTATTATGGGATATACTGTAAAGGGGAACAAATAATAGGGTGTCTCAAGCTATCACAGCTATTTCTTTGGTAGAGGTGATGAAAAGGTCACTATTTGAGAATTTGTGGCATTTACACATAAATTAACAGAAAGTTGGAATTTTTCACTTTTTCCAGAATCTAGTTTCTGTTGTTAAGGTCTCAAATTGCCCCAAATTAACATCACACTGAATAGAAGATTCTCAATTAGATTATCTTTCATTCCCTGACTCTTACCATTGGTTTCCTGCTCTGTCCTCTTGTTTTGTAAAGTCCTGGCCCTGTATCCTGTTTGGAAAGGAAAAACATCACATTGGAGAACACTGCGAATTCTGTTTGAGTGTGACTTTCCCACAGAGTCAGTAAACTGCTGTCCCCTATTCCCCAGCCTCCATCTTAACTCCAGCTCCACCTTCATCTGAATGTCATACAAAAGCACAGCACACATTCTGTCCAGTCCCAGGACGCCTCTGCAGGAATGATGTGCAGCTCTTTTTGAGGATGAGAATGGAATAGCAGAAGTTGTTTAAATATTTAAAGGTGAGGGGTGATGATTCATAGTTACATTTTAACATCAGTAGGGATTTTACATGCTCAATAAAGAACAGAGAGAATTTGTAGAGAGTGATTTTCTTGTGTGATGGCACACAGGAGTAGAGGGCTGAAGTGTCTCACCCCTGACTGACTGACTTAAGTTTTCCTTTTGATGCCTGTGGTGCTGTAGTGATAGCACCGTGGTAAAAAACAGTCTGGAATAATCTGTTCAGTTGATGTCAGATGACTGATCTGCTCCTGGTCTCTCTGATTTTGTTAGACCGTAATTTTTAGAAGACGTATATTATATTTCAGGCTATTTTACATTCTCTCCTCATCATCCTACTTATCTATCTTTGTCATCTCCTCCTCTCTCCCCTGCTGCCACTCTTCCCCATCTTTCCCCATCCTCCCCACCCCACCTCCCCTGTTCTTCATCCTCCCCCTCGGTCTCTACATCGCACCAAGGCTCCTGCCAGCATCCTCTCTGTGGGAGTGCTATGCCTTCGTGCTGGCCCTCTTCATTACACTAAACAGTTTGATCAATTATTCTATTAACTTTACTCTCCCTCTCTTTCCTTCTTTCTCTCCATATAAATATCTGTCTGTTTCCTGTCACCTTTCAGAGCCCTTGGCGGCGTCCTATCCTTGGGACTGCTACGTCTTTGCCCTGGCAGTTTTCGTGACGCTGACCAATCAGATTCATAAGTGGAGTCACTCTTACTTCGGCCTCCCACGCTGGGTCATGCTGCTCCAGGACTGGCATCTGGTGTTGCCACGGAAACACCACCGCATCCACCACGTCTCGCCACACGAAACATACTACTGCATCACTACAGGTGAGATCTGGTCCTAAGTCAATAGAGCACTGTGGAGTGACAAAGTTTAAACAGTTTTAGTGAATATTCAAATCAACACATGTGATTACATATTAACAGAAGCATAAATTATCAAGAAAGGTATAAATTAAATTTGATCAAAAAAAGTACATGAATAAAAAGAAAAAGAAATTATGTCGGCTCAATAGACACAATCTACATTTACACTCATGCAGCTCCATATCAGCACACTCCCACGTTTCACGGTCAGCACTGTGCAGTCATGTGGTGGTCCTGGCCAGGTCCACACCAAACATGCTGGTCCCCAACAAATTTATTTCAGCCTCATCTGACCAAAGAATATGCTGCCAATGTTCATCAAGCTTCTTTTCATGTTCTTTGGCAAAGCTTAATCTTTCAGTTTTTGTTAGCATTGGGTTTCGTCTTGGACGCTATAGATGTTAAATTTATGCAATGTCCTTCACACAGGCTGATCAGTCACCGAAACACCAGTTTCCACAGATAATTGTGAAACTTACCCATCTGTTTTTCAACGCAAGCTGCTGCAACCGTCTTCCAGCTTATGATTGGCACCTCACTTTCTCCCATCTTTATGACGTCTCACAATCTGGTTTGTTGTCACCGTGTGGAGCTGTGTTGCATTAGACACATCCCAAAACTGAGGAAGCTGTGGAGTTATTTTATAACCTCTAGCCATAGTGTTATGTCAACCAGTCATGTGGACAGTCATACAGTATAATCAACACTCAGCCGGTTATAAGAGTGATGATCATGGCTTCAATTCTAACTCATATTGCCTTTATTTCAAAAGAAGTGGGAAGTGTTAAAGTAAGTAAGGATGAATAGTTCTTCTGTATACATTGAGGAACTGATCAAAAATATTTAACAAAAATAATCTAACACTGTACATTCCCACAATAAAAGCATTGTTTTTTTTAAGTTTTGCATCCATCACACCACTGAGATGTTTTGAATCCTGCCAGATGTTTATTAGTGTTTATGTTGTGGGCAGCCATTTTAGATCGCCATAATTGGAGCTGATGACTCCAGAATGATTTCACTTGCAGTTCTCGGCAGATTCAGATGAAATGGCGGCCATGTCTGTCTGTCTGTCTGTCGACTTCTTATAAATAACTAAAAGAAAATGTTCTGTTTGCGTGCGTGCGTGTGTCTTTAGAGACACGGGGCCTCCGTAATAGATCCACATTCAGTATTCTGTGTGCATCTGGGTGAGAGGGAGAGAGGGAGGGAGAGAAAAGAGGGAGGATACACAAGGGGGCTTCAGCTTGTACGTCACCCTGCGCCCCTGCGGACGACAGATGTGTGGGTGAGCAAGTTGAGGGAGGTGGGGGGGGGGGTGGCACAGGGAAAGTGTGTGTTTGTACACGCACGCGCTCATACTCGTACATCTGCATACTCGAGCATCTGTGTGTGCACTAGTCTTTTTGACCTCCTCTTCAGTTTCTAACCTGTGTGTGTGCGTGTGTGTGTGTGCGCGTGTGTGTGGTGGGAGGTGGGTTGTTGGCGGTTGGGGGGCCCACAGGGGACAGTGACGGCCCCCTGCTCCCCCAGCCTGGCTGCCTAGGCCGGGCTTGGATTCCACTGGGGCTCGCCTAGCTGCCTTTGTGTTCGCCACCGGCTGACAATCCCCATGTATATTTAATGCTAACCTGCTGTCTGTTCTAACAAATAGGACTTCACAGGCAGAGGGGGGGATGGAGGACAGGGGAGGAAGGGAGGGGGGTGGGTGGGGTGGGGGGTAGGAAGCAGGGATTTGGAAGAGATAAAAAATAAAAAGGCTAGTTTGTGGCAAAAGAAGGAGAAATGGAGTGAGAGAGAAGAGGAGGAAGGAGAGATGGAGGGAAAGAGTGAAATCAAACAAAACCTCTGGCTCCTTTATGTCTTCCAGCAGAGAGAGGGTCACTGGAGGGACACGCACACACACTCACATCCCCGCAGCTATAGCATGCACCCTATGCAAACACATCATGGGTGGTGGTGTGTGAGCATCAGACAAGGGTAGGGCTAAGTACACACAGCCCTTGTGGATGTCTCTATTTGCTTCTTGTCTCTCTCTCTCTCTGTGTGTGTGTGTGTGTGTGTGTGTGTGTGTGTGTGTGTGTGTGTGTGTGTGTGTGTGTGTGTGTGTGTGTGTGGCTTGTGCATCCGATTTCTTTTTTATTTCTGCATTTGTGTGCTTGTTGTTATTGACTGTGTGGGCTCACGAAGTAAAACTGCAAGTGCAAGTGCTTTACATACAAATGCATCAGTTGTGTGTGTGTGTGTGTGTGTGTGTGTGTGTGGGGTAATAATAGTAAAATGGCTTTTCATCTCAAATGTCAGGGGAGTGCTCAGCTGCTTCCAAAGCAGTGACGTACGTACATGTGTGTAACACGCTCAGCTAAGACATGACTGTGTGTGTATGTCAGAGCAGTCACATGTATTCACACAGAGTACTGTACAGTCATGCATGCATTCATGTGTACATCATGTACATGTTCATGTGTACTTTGGCCTGCAGCCATACATACATTAATGTATTTACCTCAAAACAAATATCACAGCCATTAAACTCCCTGTAAACTGCACAAGAATGAAAAGCATGGAGAGTGTATGTGGAGTGTGTGTGAGCATGTGCACGGATGTGTTTCTCTATGTTAGTAGGGGCTAAGGACATCTCTGTCCCTCTGCCCCTCTGATATCTAGTCTGGACATTATGATGAGAGTGAGACAGGAAGTAAGAGGAGGGGAAGGAGACAATACAAGTCAGAGGACGTGTGAAAGACAGAAGTGTGAAATCTGAAGAAAAGCAAAGAGATTAAAAACTAAAAGAGAGAGAAGTTTGCAAGAGCAGTACAGAGAGTCTGGAGGGAAAAGGCGATGGTGATGGAGGAAGGATGGTGAGAAGCAGGTCAAAATGAGCCTGTGTTGGCTCTGGGTATAGTTGGAGCAGTAGGCGGGGTCAGAGACAAAACAAATATCTAAATACAGTAGCAAAATCCCCTCGGGGTCCGAGACTGTGGCGTGATCTGTCTAAAACACTTAGACTCGTACATCATATTTATCCTTCATGTCATTCCGTAAAATCTAAGTAAACAACACATACAATATGTATGTTATTGGCTTTATCTCATTTTTAGAAGTAATTAAACTTACAGTTCCATAATGTCTCCATTTGTTTCTTATCTATGTTTTTACTTCTCCATCTCTAATCCTCTCCTCCTTTCTCCACCTTCCTGACTTTCTCCCTTCCTTCCTTCCGTCTTTTTTTCCATGTTTCCTTATATCCCAGGTTGGTGTAACTATCCACTGGACCAGCTGGGCTTTTGGAGACGGATGGAGCGGTTGATCGAATGCCTGACAGGGCAGAAACCCCGGTCAGATGACCTGGCGTGGGCCAAGAAGACTGACTGATAAACACATGAATACACAGACGGATGGTTGGATGAAGTGATGGGCTTTCAGATGCAAAAACACTGAAATAGTGATGGATGGGGAGAAACACACACACATACACACACACACACACACTCCCTCACTTACAATTTACTCATGTCTCTGTGCTTCTTGCTTTTTTGCTAAAGAGCAAATATTCAAAGAAACCGTCTTTGCAAAAAAAAAAAAATCAAAGGTGGTTAGAGTGATTTCTGTATGTGCTGGAGTCTGCAGTTTAAGACGCTTTGAACGTAGGAGGCGAAAACATTACTAGATGAGGACACTGCTGTAACAGCCAATCAGCTTGTGTAGGCCTGTTTAACCAATGAGGTGTGGTGGTGTGTAGGTGTAGGAGGTTTCTGGAGGTTGGGCTCTCCAGGAGTGACACCACACACACATACACACATACACACCTACACACACACACACACACACACACACACACACACACACAGCCACAAACAAGTTTAGAAGTCAAATGTCTAGTTACTGTCTCTTCTGATTTCTTCTTGTCTGTTATTTTTTAAGTGTTAAGGTTGTTTTTCTAGAAACATCACCATCCTCTTTAAACTCTCTGGCTGCATTTACACACAAGAAGGTGAAAATCTGATGATTGTGTGCTTTAGATTAAAAAATATTAAGAAGTCAGACCTGCTACACAGAGTTATAACTTTTCTTTTTGTGCCTGTGCTTGATCTAAGACAATCTCACAGTGAGGGCCAGGCAAGATAAGACTGGTGAGGACACACATGTAAAATACATACTGTAGCTTCTTCCATAAGAAATTTCCTCGCACTGTTATAAACACAGCAGTCAAGTTGCAGATGCATACTTATACACTGCATATGTTAATACAACAACAATCATGTTGTTCAGTTTTGGTTAGTTGTTGACAGCACTCTGTTCATCTTACACGTGCTTTGACAAACTGTAGAACTTTTCTTATGCATTGATCGTTTTTGTGTTAAGAGGAGCTTTTCAGCAGTCCAGTTTTTGTCACTTGACAAATGCAGAAAGCAGCATGTACAAACGTAAAAGCTTCAGAATTAGGGTATTGAGAATTAAATGGAAGTTTAATTAGAAGCTATAGTTCACTTGAATCCAGATTAGTTAGAATTTTTAGCAAAAGTGATAAGCTAATTGTAGTGAAGAAGCATTTCATATTTTTTTCACTTTTTAAGCAAAGTAAGAGGGCAGCCAGATTTATTTGGTTGTTTCTTTGTATATAATTTTTTTAGGAAGAAGGTGTCCAGACAGAAAAGTGACCCAGCTGAATTTCTTCTGGATGGATACATGTAGGTTGGTCTACAGACCTTCTTGCAATGGGACCACACCAGCCACATGTTGACAAACTGATCCATGAGCACTCAGTAGTCATAACTTCATTATTACATGAGCACTCAGTACTAATGGGTCGGACCACACCCATCTTTGAAATTGGCCTTCATTTTGATCTCAGCTACACTCCTGTAAAGTTTTGTGATCTTGCACCGTTGTGAAGCTCTGTGGAAGTTCCTGCTGCAGTGTCTACAAGACCACATTTTGCCATGATGACACACACACAGACACTCAAGGTGAAAAACGATAGCATCCATATGCTGTTGCGGCTGGTAAATGTGAAGACCTTAAACGAGTCTTTACTGCTCTCATACCTGTGAGATAAATAAAAAAATATGAAGCTACACTCAGCAGCAGCAGTTAGATTAGCATTAAGATTAGAAACGCAGGGAAACGGCTAGGTAAAACAATCCACCCACCACCACCTCTAAAGCTCCCTAATTAACATATTTTGAGATTTTCTTACCTTTCGACAGAGCCAGGCTGGCTGTTTTCCATGTTTCCAGTCTTTGTGTTAAGCTAACCTAGCTGGATACTGGCGGTAGCTTCTTGGCAAGAAAGGTATGAAAATAGAGAAAGTCTGGCATGAAGTTTGGACGACAGATTGATGTTCATATATATTATCAAGCTTCTTTCCTCCATTTTAGCATAAAGTACAGAGACAGAAGCTAAACCTTCTTAGCATCAGTAGTTTCTTCTTACAGTACCATAAACATGTCTGCAGACAGAAATCTTGCTATGAGAAGTTTAGTTTCCTGGAGGATTCTGGCTGCCCCCAAAGAACATACAGTGAGTCCTACATGTGTAGTTAGCGTTAGCTTTTCACTAACACACTGGACGGCTCAGGGCAGGGCTAGCTTAGCTGGTCATTGCTTTTTGTTACATTCTGCATCACCAAGAATTTTTATTGATTTCAGAACAACCAGACCGCTGCATACAGCCCTACACAATCATGTAATTTACTAATATAGGAAAGCTTGAAAATCCTTTTTGTTGCATTTTTTTGTATCAAAAGATAACCATGTACCACAAAAGAAAATACAGTTGCAGTCATTCAAATCATGTTAGAAATTTTGATTCATCATTGACCACATCCCACATCTTCTCATTGAAAAGAAAAAGAAACCTCGCAAATTGTTTTGCAAGATGCTAATTGGTGCCACTGTCTAACCCACTGTGCTGCGTATGTGACTGCAACTGTAAATAATAAACACTCGACAATAAGAAATGTGTCACAAACCTCTAAACTTAAATCAGAGTCATTGAAGAAATGCATGGCAACATTTTAGTTAGTCAGTTTGTGTCAACTGATGTGAGAGGAAGGAAAAAAAAAAAGAAAAGAACTAATTCATTATTTTTCAGCAAAAACTGGTCACCAAGTAGCTTATAGAATGCAAAAAAATGTCTTTAGTATCTCTGATTTTTGTTTACATTTCATACTGTGACACATGCACTTTAGTTGGCTGTTACTAACTCTGTACTAGAGAGTCTAGCTGCTTGACTTGTAGTTTTATTTCAAGGCTGGAAATCTCCTCAGTCGTAGCAGGTCAATTATAACAGCACTTTATTGTTTTACTGATTAAATATCTGAAAATGTGTCCTGCAAGCACCTTTTCACATACAAATTAAATCATGTCTCACTTGCATGCACACACTCACACACATGCACATACACGATTTAAATCTCTTGAATGCAGTCATACACAAACAGACACGCACACACACATGCTCTCTCTCACGTTGTGTTCTCTTTTTTTCTCTGGCTTCATAATTTTCTATTTTTTTATGAACGGATCAAGCCTTGTATAGTTAAATTCTGACGTTCCATTTTGCAGCTCAATGCTCGCTGCTCGTCTGCCTTAATGTTTTTATCTGCTCTTTGATTTAAATAAAGGTTTATTATCTCCAAATGTTCACTTGCTGTGGTTATCTGTAGTATGAAAAACATGTATTTGAAGATATCTCTGCTCAGCACGTGGTTTTGATAAAGACTGCAGAATAGTAAACTTCTTTGCAACACACTACTGCAAACACCATGTGCACAACTCATAGCACTGAAGAGGTACTTTTAGTGTTGCATGTCCCATTAATGTCTTTAGCTTTAGAAGGTTACAAAGCCTGATGATCCAAGGACATGTACAAGCAAAATGAGAACACAAAATGGGGGCATATGGTTACCAGATGAGCACTTTTCATTAATCTTAAAGCATGTTTTTCTGTCAGGGTTAATGCCGCGGCTGGCGGCCGGCTCAAAAGTTTGATTTGAGAGAAATACAACACACTGGAGTGAAATGCCACTGCTGAGCCACCAGCACCCTCTAGTGTCAGGTTCAAGTCTCCGCTCCTGACTGCAGAGGTCAGAGATTCACCTCGTTCTGCTCTATATGTCTGGCATCATGACCTCCCAGATCGGTTCAGTGAATTTCACCATCCGGAGCTAACTCCCCAGAAAGCAGAGCCCCTGTTGGGGCACAGCTGCTGCAGCTTGTCCCTGTGGGTCCTGCTGAGAGCTGAAGGCAGGTCCAGTGCCAGGAGGAGGGACAGGAAGGTAATTAGAAAGGAGAGGAGACAAGGACGGGAGGCAAAAAGAGGGGAGGAGGGGCGGAGACAGGTGCTGACAGGAAAGTGATACAGACGATGGTAATGCATCAATTTAACAGCTGGTTTAAGAGTTTGGACGACTGGAGGACTGAGATGTCTGTTAGATGAATCTAACCAGCATTACTGCTGCCCGCTAGTGGACTGAGTGATACCATAGCTGATAAATGTAGTGTTTTTAGCTGGGGGTAGCAGTGTTGATGTCAAGTCCTGAAAGGGAATAGTAGATATTTACACATCATAGAAACATAATGACATGATATTGCAGTAATATCCTAGCAATGGTAATGTAATAGTAATGCAAAATACATTGTTAAAGACTAAGTTAGTGTCTTATTCTTGCAGAGCTTTGAAAGCATGCTGATTAAACCATTTTAGGCATGTCAATGGTTTGATACCAGAGGATGTTATGTGAATCCTCTAATTTGGATTCTGTTGATCCATTACTTCTGAACAAAGGTGAGTGTTAGCATAGAATGAGCCCTTTATATGTACATGGGGTCCGTGTCCTCTTCCACAGAGATCACCGCATTGCACCGCCATGTTTCTACAGAAGTTCAGAATGGACATACCAATCACTCGCTCTAGAGAAGACCTTTCGTGTTTTTTTTGTTACCTGAAGGCCACAATATAGGTTCTCCAACATGCTTGGAAAGGGAGGAATGAGGGGTATTTATTTGGTTGCAATCTGCAACCACACCGTTAGATGCCACCAAATTCTTACCAAAGTTTATCATCCTGATGGGGAGATAAAAGGCGTGTACCAAATTTCCTAAAAATCAATCCAAAAATTGCTGAAACATTTCACCAGAAAACAAAAATTTCAATGTCATGGTGGTACAAGAGGTGACATCAGAGGATCGCCAGAGACATTAAGATATATCCTCTGGAGGTCATAAATGTCAACATTGTTGTGATATTTCAGTAGGAATGAAAGGCTAAATCTAACACAGTAAAAATGACCAATCACTGTTCAAACATGATTGAAGTGAACAAGTGATGGATTTTCATAAATTTCTTATATTCCAAATGAGACCTCAACAAAAAATGTAATTTCACCAAATGATTTGTCTTGGTGAAATTGGTAGTTTGGGATTTTTAATAAGGAAAATATTGACATAGACTTTTTCAGTATTATAGAATGCCAGTTTAGGTTCTCACTAATTATTCTTCAGCAAATCAGCCTTGCTGAGTTTTGCAGTTATTATAACAGTGGGTACATACAGTACGAGAAGTTTGAAAGATTGAATCTGGGTATTTTTGGTGTTTGACTGTCACCACAGTCAGCGCAAGCTGTAATGTGAAGATCTATAAGCTTTTCTTAGAAGAGTTTCCTTCATAGTCATCTCATTATGAAATATAGATCAGTTACTTTGTTAGATAAGTCTAAGAGGGAACTATATGTCAGCATCTCACACACACACACAAACATACAAAGAGTTTCTGTTGTACCTGGGTTGTGAACATGTGCACGCACACACATACACGCACACACCAGGGCATGTTGTGTGGCATGTTGCAGAAGTCTCGCTGATTTCACACATCTTCATATAGCTCACAGTAAGAGCTCCTTTGTCATTCCCACATTAGTGCCATCACTTCCACTGTTACACCCAGCACTAACAAGACACACATGCAAGTAGGCCTTCCTCTTCTTCACACACACACGCTCCCGCTCTCTCTGCATGGTGGTAACATATTGGATCTCACTATGTTGATGTGCTTGGCTGATCAGTGCCTCATGCTGGTAGCTATTAAAGTTTCTATTAGTAATACAGAGACACAAGGGTTGATGGCAACACTTGCAGCAGTTAGATGCAGAGACATGAATGACTTTGGAATTTAAACTTTTCATAATGTAATTAATGTAAGCTCTAAGACCCTCTGAAGTCAGAAATAACTCAGAAATATACAGTATAAAGCGTGTTGGATATGCCTTTTTCCTTTGACAGAAATTTAAATGAAGTTTCAGATTGCTGCAATGACAATGAGAGGGACAGTCAGTGAAAAATAGAGCTATTGAAAGGTTCTGTGAACAGGATTTTAAACAATAATATAGCAGCAAACAACTATTTCTATAATGGAGTTTTTCTATTGTTTGTTTTGGTATAAGGTATGGCGGCGCGTGCATGTTAGTGCGTGTGCATTACTCCCTCCATTGGCCCTCTCTACCTTCATAAAGCCACAGGGACCGCCCACAGGTGAGATGGCACAGCACAATATGCCGCCTTCAGGTGGAAGTGACCTTCCAGAATTTCCTCCAATGAAAATAACGCGATTTCCGTCTACGAAGGCCTCTTACAAAGAAAGAGACAAGACAAGTGGACAGGTTGACTGGCCATGGGGACTATTAGTTCAAATACCGGTAATCATCCATAAAGTTTATACCGGTTCTGTCAATGAGTTTCCTGTGATTAAGTCCAAGGCTGAATTTATTTTCCCGTCCGACCGTGGATTCAAACTGGTCTGGCTTTATCAAGATGGGGAACCAAAGGAGCGGCTAAAGGGCTCCAGCTTGACTCGGAACTGACTTTTCTTCGCTTCAACGGGTAAGCAGCTTTACGGCTACGCGATGATAATGTTAGCTAACTTGATGTTATGAATGTGTTCGGCAATGTTGCTATCGCTAGCTGGCTAACTGCTAACTGTTGTGCAGCATATCATGGCAATGCTAGCGTGGGGTAACGGTTGAAGGTGTTTTGCCTTTGGTTGGCTTTCGTGTACACAGTGTAAATTTATTTTGTAGTGCTACTTGGTGTGTGATTAGTGACCACTTTCACTTGGCTTGTAACACTTAACTAACTGAGATCGTGGGGGTGGGGGCGTGTGGCTGATGAAGCAGTTGTTGTGGTTTGAGGTGCTGTCGTTGTATTGCGACGTCATCTAGTGGCAGTGACGATCGTTTACGGCACCTTTTTTTTTTTTTCAAGAAATACAGATTATATTATTTGTGGCATTAAAAGACTCTCAAATGACTAGTCAGATGCTTTGAATTATAGATAGTTAAACCAGTACACACGAGCACTTTATAAGGAACACCATGCTAACTACTGCTACCACGTCAAATGGGCAGGGCCTCAAAACGGCCTCAATTCTTTGTCATGGATTCCACAAGATGTTGGAAACATTCCTTTGAGATTCTTCATCATCATGACATGATTGCATCACATAATTTCTGCAGGTTTGTCAGCTGCATATTCAGTTTTCAGTTTTCACTACACACACACTTATGTTCATGAAACCAGTTTGAGACAACTTTTGCTTTGTGATACAGTGCATTATCATGCTGGAGTTAGCCATTAGAAGATGTTAAATTGCGGCCATAAAGGTATGCACATGATCAGCAATAATATGCAGATTGGTTGTGGTATTCAAACTATGATTGATTGGTATTAAGGGGCCCAAAGTGTGTCAAGAAACATTCCCCTTCCCAGTTACCATAGCCTTTCTGTCTGCTCCAATAAGTCTGGCCAGTCTCCTTTGACCTCTCTAATCAACATGGCACTTCCATCTGCAAATCTGCCTCTCTCTTGATGTTTTTTGTTTTTTGTACCATTCTGAGTAAACTCTAGAAACTGCTGTGTGTGTAAATCTCAGGAGATCAGCAGTTTCAGAAATACTCAGAAGTCAGAGATCACGTTTTCCCCATTCTGATGTTTGATATGAACATGAACTGAAGCTCCTGTGTCTGCATGATTTTATGTATTTCACTTCTGCCACATGGTTGCCTGGCTGGATAATTGCATGAATAAGCATGTGTACAGGTGTTGCTAATTACAAAAAAACTTAAATAAAATAAATAAATCTGTAATTTTCAACTGCTCCAATACAAAATTGAAATATTGAGGTAGAGATTGAGCCCAGCTCATTCCAGATGGCTCTAATCAAGGTTGACAAAAAAAAGTGAAGTCAAAGAGTGGAAGTAACACAGAGCCTTGACTCCTCTCTAATGACATCTGTAAGTGTGTCTGCAGGTGATTTTTGTCAGACAGGGTGTCAGAATCCCACAATGATTCTCATTGCAGATTGAGGTGTGTTCACACCCTTCGCAGTAGCTTGCTCTGTGGGTGTGTGTGTGTGTGTTTGTGTGTGTGTGTGTGTGTGTGTGCGCGTGTGTGTGCGCGTGTGTGCGCGCACCTGAATGCATATGAGAATGTGTTTGTCTGTTCCATTTTTTCCACGGTGTGGATGCATTAAAGTATATGCATCTGTGTGTCTGAAGATTGAGTGTGTCACCTGCAGGTGTTTGTACAAGTGAAAAAGCCAATTATGAGACGTGGCAGTAAAAACAATGAGGCATTCAAGACTTATC